GGGACGCTCTCTGAAGGCCGCCTGAAACTCTTGGGGGAAGCTCAGAGGGTTTGGAGTGTGTTGAAAGAGGCAGTGCAGGGCCATGTCCAGAACAGGGCCCATCGTTTGTACAGGTTCTGCCTCGTAAAGTCAGAAAGGATGAGCAATGAACAGAAACACAGGGCGGCGCCGGAGTGAGAGAGATGGAGACAGATAGAGAAGCAAAGAGAAGGAGACAGTAATCAGGGAGAAGAGGAAGAAGGAAGGCAGCGGAAGAGCGACAGCGAGGGAAACAGGGTGAAGGACACAGAAACAATCAAGAAGAGGAAGGAGGAAGCGATGGTGGAAACAGGATTGCTTGGAGAACAACAAGGAGACGGAGAAAAGCAAGAAGAAACGAGAAGAGGTGGGGCAGGACACTTGTTTTTGTTATCCACTGTTCGTTTTCCTCACCCTTACGCTTACTTCCCGAGCATCGCTCACTCCTTTCTTCCACGGTCTTTGTCCTTCATTTCCCTTCTCTATCTCTCCATCCTCTCTCTAGCTCTCCTTCATTTCTTTTCCCACGTTCGTTCTCCTCCTTTCTCCGCTCTCCCTTTTCTCGTGTCCATCCCACGAGCCTTTCCTCCTCTCTTCTTTTTGTCATTAGGGGAGTAGAACAAGGGCAAGGTTAAGCAAGGAGAATGAAGGGAATGATGAGATGGAAGGAGGACTTCCCCTGCCCCTTCTAACCAGCTTCCACAGCTCTCTACATGTCTCTGTGTTCTTTTCTCTTGTTTTTATTCTTAGCAATGTCGGGAAAGGGTCCCTTGGGCCTAAACCCTAACGCCTAAACCCTCGTGAGTATTTCGGCCTCGGGAATGGCTTGACGAAACGTCGTGACGCGACAGAAAACGAAAGTCTTCAACTATGATAACAGGCCTAGAAGCGTATATGCAAATTGATTATTAACCAAGAGCAAATGCCAAATAATACATAAAGGTCCATGCCACATAGGCCTATAGGGTTCACATGTTTATGGTTTAAGGTTGAGGAATTACCTATAGGATGAGAACCTTATAACCCTGTGTACGACTCACCTTTACGTACTATTTGATGTTTCTCTTTCCCCTGTTAAAGCTTCAAGGATTTTAAAGAATTTACAAAGACCCTTCAATTCTTGAAAACCCTGTAAACTCCTTAAAATATTGAGAGGCCTCTGGCTTTCAACATTTTAAGGATGTTAAGGAATGTAAAAGGCCACTTAGATACTTTAAAATCCGTAAAATCTTGAAAAATAATTTCTTTTGGGAAATGCCCGGCCCTTTTTATTTTTTAACAATGCGTACATTCCTTCCAATCCTTGAAATTTTGAAACAAAATAGGTATTTTGGGAAACGGCCCGGCCCATTTAAATAGTCTAATTATGGTTTCAGCACATTTAGGACTGCAGCCTTCCAATCTCTAGATCCCTCAAGGGTTTTAGGGTTCTGACCCTGAAGGGTTTCGGGTAATTCTTAAAGCTTGGACCCTATAGGGCTAAACCCTATAGAGGTAACCCCGTCAGGGGATTAGAGATAATCTCCGAAAAGCCCTAAGGCTTTGGATTGAACTTCAAACCCGGGACCCTGGATTCAAGATCCCGGGGAAACTTTTCCCTAAAAACTTTAAATCTTGAATCTTGAATCCCGGAGTATTGAACTTCAATCCGGAGCATTGAACTTCAATACTCCGGGATTCAAGATTCAAGATTCAAGGTTCCAGGGAAAAGTTTCCCCGGGATCTTGAATCCAGGGTCCCCAGTATTGAAGTTCAATACCCCGGATTGAAGTTCAATACTTCGGGACCCTGGATTCAAGATCCCGGGTGAACTTTTCCCGGGAACCTTGAATCTTGAATCTTGAATCCCGGGAGTATTGAACTTCAATCCGGAGCATTGAACTTCAATACTCCGGGATTCAAGATTCAAGATTCAAGGTTCCAGGGAAAAGTTTCCCCGGGATCTTGAATCCAGGGTCCCCAGTATTGAAGTTCAATACCCCGGATTGAACTTCAATACTTCGGGACCCTGGATTCAAGATCCCGGGGGAACTTTTCCCGGGAACCTTGAATCTTGAATCTTGAATCCCCACTTCAATACTCCTTGTCCCTCATCGCGCTTGACCATTGAGGCCTTGAAATTTAAGTACACTATGCACTCTAGAACCGTCTCTCAAAGAAAACAAATTACGAACGAAAAAAAGAAATACGCAGTGCCATAACAAGAAAAACACAAAACAAGCAGAAAAGGTGTGGATAACTCGGGGGGGGGGTACCATATATATATATATATATATCTGTATATATGTATATACATGTATATATATATATATGTAATATCTGTATATATATATGTTTACATGTATATATATATATATATGTGCATATCTTGTTGCGTGTGCCCATTGACGCCGCCTTGGGGCACTTGCACGGCAGGACGCGTCGTCCGAAGATGAAGGTAGCAGATGTCTCGGAGTCACCTGTGGCTCCCACGCCCACAGCTTCCAATTGTTGGGATCAGCTGCTGCTGCGGCTGCTCAGGCCCACCTCGCGCGACGTTGAGGCATGGCATGGAGTGAATGGAGCATGCCACGTGCATATTGCTCCTTGCTTTTTGAGCAAGTACTCCAATTCTGTGATGCATTTTGCTGCGCAGGCCCCCGCAGGACCGCGCGAAGAAGGCCGGTGGTACCATGGCAGGAGTCCGTTGAGTCACTGAGCCACTGTTGCGGCTCAGCTTCGCAGATGTTCAGTTGTCTCAGTGCCTGAGTTGTGTCGCTTTTCAAGGCGCTGGAAGCTCGCAAGCCCCGGCGTCTGTGAGAGTACTGCTGTAAGATTCTGTTCAAGGTAGCCAGGATAGCCGCCTCCCGGCGTAAGCCGACCGTTGGCTGATCCAGTTCCATGGCTGCTTGATGCAGACCTTAAGGCCTCAGACACCCAGACACACTATTGATGTAGCACTCGCAAATGTCACCAGCTGGCATGAGCCTTGAGAGACTTGCTGCCCTGACATTCTTGAAATCATTGCTCAGTACTGCCGTGAGGCTTGCCTAGTCCTTATCGCCATTCCTGTGCCCGACACGAGACCTCTCGAGGTAAGCTTCACAACAGTACGCAAAGTCCATGGCATTGACAGCAGTTTTGGCATGTTTGTCTCGTGTCGCGGGGTCGCCTGCAGCTTTGGGCTACAACCTCATAGAGTAGCCCTCCGCCACCGTTCCTTGCAGTGTGTGGCTGCAAAGCAGAGCTCTAGAATGCTGGAAAGGCCACGAGCACGCTAAGGAGAGCTCTGCTGATCACTCAGAGAAATGATGGGCAGACAAAGTGCTCGACGATCCAGTAGGCAGCTCTGCCAGCACTTGCCAGCTGCATTTGCATGAGCGGCGTTGACCGTACATACATGCCCAAATATGGGTACACACATACATATATACACACACTTGCTAGAATGGCTAGAACGATGTATATGTATACATGCCTTGCTCCATCAAGAAAGGGCGCCGTTCGCGAAAGCCAAAAGCGCCGCTCCGGAGTGCGCTCCGACACCGTCGAAAAAAGTCCGGGAGCTGGCGCTACGTGAAGTGCAAGGCGTAGGGCTTCCAGTGTTTTCAGGGTACCGGGCGCTGTCTTTCGAGAGTCTTTTGCGAGCTGGTTGGCAATGGGCTGCAGTCTGTGGTACATGAGAGGTTAGATGCAGGCTTTCCGGCGTACTGGATCGGCCCGAAATGGGTCATTGCACCCATGACCAGTGGTGCTGGAATCTGCCAGAAGGCACTGGGGCATGACAGGCATGGGGGAAGCTTCGGCTGGAGAGGTCCTTGGTCGCCACGGTTGCCGGATGCTGGAGGAACTCTGTGTTGCCTTACGCACACCACCGCGCCGCTCTGAGGCGCTTCGGGGCCGATGTTTCAGCCCACGTCAGCACGTGTCCACCGATTAACCTTTGTGGTGTGTTTGTGCTAAGCGGTGCTGGCCTGTGCGCATGGTATAGTTACGTTCCAGTGTCCAAGAAACTAGCTCGCCCCCTGAGTGTAGCGAACTTGTTCAAAGCTTCTCCTTGTCGGCGCCGGTCCTGAGCAGACACAGGGCACCCTTGTCAAATGCTGATGTACCCGAAGGCTCAATGGAAGCTAACGTTTACACCGACGTGCACGCAGTAGACGCATCGGGTGTCTGGAGGTCACCAACCTCGCATCTCTCTGGTTCATTTATCCCTCAGATCCTTGCCTTGTCTGCGAGCCGCCCCATAGAAGTTCATCAGGTTTTCTGCTGCAATGCCATCCCACTTTACCCGACACTGACGCAGCTTCACCGGCCGTCTTTCCTGACGCATGTCGTGTGACAGAGGCATTTTCCCCCTCTTTATAACCGACGAAAATGCTCGAATGCATAAGCCGGGACCCTGAAGCGGCTGAAGCGCCTGAAGCCGAGGGAGTCCATTTTCGGCCCCCGGGCGGGTCCCCTCGACCCCCCTTTTTGGGCCCCCCTGCAGGGAGCGCACCCAGTGCGCTTTTGGGCTGCTGTTTGGACTCAAGGGGGCTTCAATTGGTTCAAGGGTTCAAAGCTGGCCAGGGTGAACATAGCCTCAACCCTAAACTCAAACTCCCCACCGTGATAAACCCTGAAATCCCCTAAAGACCCTCAACTTACTTCACCTACAAAATAGCCCCGGAATGTTGAGCACTGGATGTGGCACATCAGCACCAAAAGCTGGTCTTGAAAAAACCTGCCCGGAAGCTGCCTCCGGTGGATGTCAAATGGCTCTGGACGGAAGCGTTAGCCCATGTTCGTTGTTGCAGATGCAGATGGTGTTGATGTTTTGGTAGCGCGCCTGCACGGAGCAGATGGGAGCTCAGTCATGCAAGGGAGCAGCAGCGCATGCAGCACCATTCACACCACCCACGCAACATGGCCTGAACTGAGAGTGAAGTACAGGCACAGCGTAGGTGTAGAATGCGAACGTGCCGGGCGATTGCCAATTTGTCGCCCGTGCCCGTGGTGGCATGGAGAAGAAGGGGGCACCTGGCTCAGGGTCCAGGGATGCTTCGGTGGTGTGGCTCAGTGGCGGGGTGCGACTTGGGTGTGTCAGGTTGACCTGTCGAGCAAGGCGATCTCGCTGACCGAGGTCCGAGCTGGGGAGTTGGGGTAGATTCGGGTAGATGCGGGAGACGGAGGGTGGTCATGGTTTCAAGGCGCAGGTGGAAGAGTTCCAGGAAGCCTTCGGGCTCTTCGACAAGGCAGAGAGAGCTCTCTTTCTCTGTGTGTGTGTCTCTCTCTCTCACTCTCGCTCTCTCATTCTCTCTCCTCTCCTCTCTCTCTCTCCTCTCTCTCACTCTCTCCCTCTCTCTCGCTGTTTTCGTCTCGAAGTTGTGTGTGTGTGTGTCTTCGAGGACGGCGACGGGAGGATCTCCTCGGAGGAGCTCGGGGTTGTCCTGAAGGCCTTGGGCCGCAAGCCGCGGGGCGCCGAGCTGGAGACGTCAAGTCGAGCCTCAAGAGCTCTCCCAAGCAAAATACGGCAAACAAGAAGAACAACGCAAGAGTGTTGGGATATGATGGGACTGGAATTTCTTGGAAATCAAGTGGGGATAGGGAGCGAACAAGGCGGAGAAATCTTCAAAGCTTTCTCTGTTCAGCCTCGTTTAGACTTCATTTGCTTTGTACACCCCAGGACCTCCGAGGAGTTGAAGGCCATGGTGGGGGAGGCAGACGAGGTGCGGGGAATCCACAACAAGATGGTCAGAGAACAAAAAGATGGTCAGAGACGTCTGAGACTTCTCCCACACACGATCCTCTCACGCCGAGTAGCCTCCGTGAGCCAGATCGTGGCAGGACGGCAGCGGCACCATCGAGTTCCCAGAGCTGGACACCCAGGGACGTGTGACGTGATATGACGGGCGGGGAGCACTCGAAGGGAACAATGGAAGTGACGGAAGCCTCTGACTCCTTGACTCTTCTTTGTGCAAATTGAGAGTGGCTTTCCGATTTACAACTGTTCAACTCCTCGAAGGTTCCTGAAGCTGATGGCGAACAAGCTCCACGACTTGGACTCTGCTGAGGCTGCCGTGGTTGCAGCTGCAAGCTACAGACAAAACACTGGGCTTACACGTCGCTTGACATCACTTGGACCTGCAACAAGCATTACCTCAGCTGAGCTTTGGCATGTGCATATTCTGTTGTGTTGCAAGACCGATTCGGAATTGCCTGTGGCCAGCTTTCACTTTGTCCTTGACCTCGCACCGTTTGCCGGGCCCCTCAAAGGTTTCCCAGGCCAGAACCCCTCGGACCTTGAACGTTTCGCCTCGTCTCCTCAGCCATTTTGGATGTTGGAGCAGTGGCAGTGGCATTTGGGTTCACTGATCTTGCTTGTTTGGTGTCTCGGCGACAGGGACGGCGAACCACCGAACCTGGCAAAAGGAACTTGCGAAATGATCCGAAGTGATCATGAAGGGAGGGCAGGGTGGAAAACCTCCGTGCGCGCGACTTGGCTTCCAGATTCAATGGTCAAAAAATGCCACCAACAGCGCGCGCACACACACACACACACACGCGACGCGTTCTCTCTCTTTTCATTCTCCTCTCAACTAAGACAAAATTGCGGTAGTCAGAGTGGAGAGGAGGTCATAGGAGGGCCCACGAGCCACCAAAAACTGCCAGGAGATGCACGAGGCTTTCATGGTGTTCGACCGCGACAAAAGTGCCCTGGCGTGCCAGGAAAGAGCCAGACCGAGCTGCAGACTGCCGACTGCCTGCCGACTGCCTGCATGCTACGTACTGTAGGTGGCAAGGTTACCCCAAGCGAGCTGAAGCACGTCATGAACAGCCTCGGCGAGAAGGTGCATATGTGGTCAACGCCAAAAAAGAGAAGAGAGGCTGAAGCCGGAATGACCGGAGTGAGAGGTCACAAACGAGGAGATCGAAGAGATGATCAAAGAGGCTGACATTGATGGCGATGGAGAGCTTAGCTTCGATGACTTCATGCAGCCTCCTGCCCAGTTGGGTCCAGCGTGGAAGCATCCTTACTCAGTGCCTTACAGTGCCTTACTACGTGCTACGTGTGTCTCGAGGTGTGTGTGTGTGGTCCGCAGTTCAAGGTTCATTCAGATGAAGGGCTTGGGTGGCCGCTGAGAGCCGGCAGAGAGCCGGTGGAGAGCCGCCGGGAGCCGCTGCCAAGTGTGCAGAGCACGGCGCGCATGCACGGACCGCACGGACTGCACGGAGCCGCTCCCCAAGGGAGCATTCGGAGGGCAGTCAAAGGCCCAGGATGACCCAGACTGCAACTTACAGGGCCCTCTGCGTCCCCATGTCCCACGCATGTGCATGTGAGGTGATCGTAGGTCGCTAGCTCGAAGCTTTCTGCTGTCACGAGCATTCACGAGCTGCATGAAGTCACCTGTTGCAAGTTGCAACGATGGGCAACTACATCGGACATGAACAACAAGGCCCACGCCCATCCGCAAATTCGCAGAGCCTTTACTAAGCCCCAAACTCCCTCTTAACTCCCTAAATCCTAAGACCTGATTGTAAACGGTTGCGCGTGCCGCCTCGGCAGCCGGGCCGCCATGTTCGCGAAGGCCGGACCTTTCCAGAATGCAGCCGCTCCAAGTTGTGAGCTGTCCCCGTTTGCGTCTCAAATCCCGACAAAGTCTCCGCTGGTGCGCCAGGTGCTGTCTGAGGTGCTGTCTGAGGATGGCCTGGGCCTTTTGCTTCCTGAGAAGCCCCCAAAGTGCGCTCCGCATTGGACGCTGAGGTGAAGGCTGAGCCACGACCGCCCAGCCGAAAGAAGAAGCGCACTTGCCCAGTGCGATGGGCATCTTCCCTTTGCAATGTGCCACGTTGCAATGTGCCTTTCTGCCCCCTGCTGTGCCTGGTTCAAGTGCCTTACTGAAGGTCCTGGCAGTGGCAGTATGGGCTCTGGCTCGGGGGCACGGCTGCGGCCTCGACACCCTCCACAGACGGGAGCGTGAGAGAAAGGGAGAGAGTCGAGAAAAGAAGAGAAAAGTGTGCGCATCTCGGCAAAGGGGTATTGCTTGAAGGGCTCTCAGAGAGTTGCCTTCTTTGTTGAGGCCTGCAGCGTCCTCTTGGCATGCGCCGCGGTGCTGGTCAGCCCCGACCAGAGTCGGGGTCTCGGGGTCTCGGGTTCTCGGTCCTCGGTGCCTCTGAAATCGGTCCAAGTTGTTTCAGCTGAAGCGCCGAAGGCAGCACGCTTTCCAATTCCACACCAAACTCCACTTCTTGAAGCTGCTTGCTCTCCCCACACGATAAGTACCTGTACCGCACACCCCGCACATCCAGTCTGTAAGAGTCTTGCAAAGTCCGTAGCGCCGCGCTTGATCTATTTTCGAGGGTTTGTTGTTGGTCTTTGATAAGACTTTTTCTCAAGGCCTGCTGGAGACCTTGGCACGGCACCGAGCTGCACCCTGGATGCTGCATGCTGCTCCGAGAAGTGGCAAATGACTCTCAGGTAAATGACCGAAGCCTCATTGACCACGTGAACCTCAACGCGCTCGGTCCGAGTTCGTGAAATTGTGCTTTCAGCCTGTGACATGCATAGAAAGTTGATGAAATTTGTCTAGAGAAAGTGACAAAAAAGGCACGGACCTGGCAAGCAGACGCCGTGAGGTTCTTCGAGGCTCGCCGCAATGACTCACAGATGCGATGGCACAACGATTACGTTGAAGTCCCATCTGGAAATGGCGTAGATCGAAACCTCATGAAACCTAACATGCCGCGCGCCTTCCTTCTCGAGAGAACCGCCTTTCGAAGAGAAGCGCTGAAACCCAGCTTGGTCAGCGCTTTGGACGAGCAAGGGATCGTGGTGAATCTTGGGGGCGATTTCGAGCACCAACGACACAAAAACCGCGAGAAAAGGGGGCTGGAGCAGAGAAACGGCGAGTCCACACCACAGGTTGGACTCGAGATTGGCCCGCAAGTGCCCGCAACCCCCATGCCCTAAACAGGGAGCACTCCCATGTGCGCACCTGCTTTTGTGGGTGAGGGATGGAGAATCGGCGACGTCCAGCGCTTGGGCGGGATCGTCGTCTCCAACCACGCGAGCCGTGTCCCGAGTCACGAGCCTCACAAGCCTCGCAATTGAGCGCACAGTCGGCACAGCATGGAAGTGCTGAAGCTGCGGTGCTAAAGCTGCTACGTCGTTGGGCCGTTTCCTGAAGGCGCCATCCCGGAGTGCGTGCTGCCCGACGTGGATGTGCCGACAAGCTTCGATGCTCGCAAAAAGCCGGGGCCTCGGATAGAGCGAAGTTGCCGGAGCGAAGTTGCCGGAGCGAAGCGGCTGGAGCGAAGTGGTTGGAGCGAAGCGGCTTCGCTCTTTCCGCGAGTTCCAACAGTGGCGGCTTTTCGTTTGTTTAGCCCCCTTGAGGTGGCCGCGGTGCTTCCCGGCTCCTTACGAGATGGGCAACTGCACGCGCCTGAGTCATGCGTGATCTGGAGATGTGTCCAAAAAGGGGCACTACGATATTCTCCAAGTGAGCCTGGCAGGTTCAGCAAGCTGGGCCATCGCAGCCACCAGTGTCGTGAGCAAGAGGTGGGGGCCGTTTCGAGGTGTCCTCTCTGTGTAATTCGGTGTCCCCTGCGGGCTGAGACCGGTCGGGTGCCGCCCCGCCACTCTGCCAGGTTCTGTGTTGCGAGCCCAAAGGACTTTGCTGGGCCTGCGGCTCACGGGTGTCACGGATGGGCTCCAAGTCACCAAATGGTTACCACATTGGGACAAAGTGGTCAAGTGATTTAGGAGCGTTGCCCTCTTGACATGTCTTGCTCAGATTTGGGTCACATGCTGTGTCTGTGCGGAGGTTGAGGCTGTCTGCGCAACAGCTCCTCTCGCCGGCAGCCATGCCTTAATTCTTTGTCTGTGGTGGAATTCTGCTGCGCATTCGTCTTCGAGGTGCGAGCCACTTAGCAGAGGCTGTGCAGGCGGCGCGCTGGATACCGTGAGGCACCTGGGACGCAGAAGTCTGCTCTTTATGAAGCTTCGGCCTTCTAGACATTTGAGCCTGCTGAGCTCAAGGTCTGGGGCTACATGAAAAGGGAGGGCTTGGTAACCGAGACGTGCCTTCCGTACCAGGCGCCTTGAAAACATGCGGGGCCTGGTCAGATTGGTGTCTCCTCCTTTAGGCTGACGACGCCGTGGCGTGCTCCCTCTGCGAGGCTGCAGTCTTCTCAGAGCATAGCCGCAGCCAGCGCCGAGCCTTTCGCCCCCGATTCGCCCCGCAAGGAGCGAAAGCGCATCGCATCAGTCTGCAGGGTGACCAGCCTTCGTCGCGAGGCTTTGCACTGAGCACCCCCCCGCAGCCATCCCCCTCCCCCTCCACCCCCCAAAAACCCCAATCTACACAGAGATATCGATGTCGGGCGACTGCCTTGCTGTGCAGATCTGACTGCCTTTTTTGCAGATCTTTCTCAATGGGCCGGTGGCTGTGCCCATCCTGTTGCTGAACGACTTCCTTGTGTATAGGTGCCTTGACTGTGCTGCCTCCCAAAGAATGCATGTCTGCGTGCTGCGCGTGGCATGATGGCAGAACTCAAGAATGTGTTCAAGTCCTCAGCCTGGTGGACAGACCTGGAACGATAGCTAGCGGCACGCATTGGTTCGAACAAGTCATCTCTTCACCGAGTCAAACGACCGACATACTAAGCAGAACCAGATCTATACAGCACAACAAAGGTTCACAGGGAGGTGTCAGGGCATTGTCAGGCTTCGGAGCGTCTAAGACGCTTCTTACTGCGTGGCCTTTACGACCTGCACTCCCCGCACACCCCACGATGCGTGGGCCAGACCTGGCCTTTGCTGATGGCCTCGGCTGGCGGTTCCAGGAGAAGTTTTTCGAAAGTTGTCAAGAGGGGTTCTAAGCCAAAAGGGCTTTACTTGCTTCCAATGGCAAGGACCACCATCTTGCTCCGCACCTTGCATCAGGACCTTGCATCTGTTGAGCTCGGTGCCAGGAATAGGCTAAAGGTAGGCGGCAGCGCAACTCACGCAATGGCTCACCTTTGATGCTCCTGCACCCGGATGCTCGGATAGCTCGGAGCCCGCGTATGTTTCGTAGCCCGCCTTGGCTCAGCTTGGCGACCCAGCTTGCACCCGGCCGAAGGCACGAGCTCGAAGCTTGCTCACACCTCTATACAACTTTCTAAAATTTTATAAAACTCTGAGCACTTGCAAGTGGATGCTGATGTGAGGTGGGAATCGGCATCCGGGTGGCCATGGCGCAGCCAGGGCCACGTTTCACCCTCCCTTTCGTCACTCGTCAGCCTCTCTACTTCCTCACCCTCTTCTCGCGTCTGCGTCCGAGGCCCAAGACGAGCAGTGCAGCTCGTCGGCTGGTGATGGCGCCTCCATGCAGGAAGATAATGGAAGATGTATTCATGAGATGCCTGGTGCTTCTTGGTCTCCCCTCCAGGATCTGCCGTTTTAAGATCGTCAAAATGCTGTCTTCTGTCCCAAAGCAGCCAATCCCAGAGTGCAGAAGGATGGCCGCTGCACGGTCCTCCCCAAAAGAAGGCAATACTCGGGAGCCTCCTGGGCTCGGAGCCGGGAGTCTCTGAAGTTGCTTTGTTTCATTCATTTTTGTTTGTGGTGGGGGGGGATGGGGGGCGGGGAAAGGCCCCAAGATGCACACAAGATAGGAAACCTCGAAGAGGAAAGGCAATTCAATCTGCTTGCTCTGCGAAAGGCCCCAAGGTGTACGCAAGATGGGAAACCTCGAAGAGACAAGGCGTTCGAATTTGCTTGCCGAGTTTGCTTGCTCTGCAAAAGGCCCCAAGATGCGCACAGGATAGGAAACCTCGAAGAGGAAAGACGTTTGAATTTGCTTGCTCTGTGAAAGGCCCCAAGATGCACACAAGATAGGAAACCTCGAAGAGGAAAGGCAATTCAATCTGCTTGCTCTGCGAAAGGCCCCAAGATGTACGCAAGATGGGAAACCTCGAAGAGACAAGGCGTTCGAATTTGCTTGCTGAGTTTGCTTGCTCTGCAAAAGGCCCCAAGATGCGCACAGGATAGGAAACCTCGAAGAGGAAAGACGTTTGAATTTGCTTGCTCTGTGAAAGGCCCCAAGATGCACACAAGATAGGAAACCTCGAAGAGGAAAGGCAATTCAATCTGCTTGCTC